CAGGAGAGATACATGATAATGTACACTTGGAAAATCCTAGAGGGATTAGTACCAAACTTCCAAATGAAAATCACTCCCTATGAAAGCAAAAGACACTGTAGGAGATGCAACATTCCTCTAATGAAAAGCAGGGGTGCTACAAGTACATTGAGAGAACACAATAAGTGTCTGGGGCCCAAGACTGTTCAACTGCCTCCCAGCATACATAAGGGGTATTACCAACAGACCCCTGTCTGTCTTCAAGAAGGCACTGGACAGGTACCTAAATCAGTACCTGACCAACCGGGCTGTGGTTCATACATCAGTTTGCGTGCAGCCAGCAGTAACAACCTGGTTGGTCAGACCCTGATCCCACGAGGCCTGGTTTCAGACCAAGCCACGGGGGCATTGACCCCTGAAACCCTCTCCAGGTAAACTCCAGGTACCTCTCTAGGAGCAGCTTCAAAAACTTTGAAAATGGCTCCTCTACAAATCTGCCCCTTAATCATGTCAATACCACCACCAATGAGCTGCCTTCTGATGTTCCTATCTGCCTGCCCTGTCCTGTGACCTAGCCTGCTGCCAGCTTCTCGAGACCCAAGACCTCCAACCACCACAAGACCATTGCAACAGAGCCTGCCCCTTGTCATTCTCCATTCCGTCCCATGAGCACCTAGCTGCTGGCTTATTCCCTGGTACTTTTTCTATGACTGTGGACTCTCCTTTCCAATAAGTGGATCCTCGACCAATGATATTAATCCGTTTCAGAGCTCATCGTTAGATGATATTATCATTAGTTGAATTAATTTTCCCCATAAGAAATAATGGAAATCAAATTAATCCATTCAGGACACCCAAAAGTATGAAAAAATATTTTTACCACATGACATATACATTTTCCTACACACAAACAGAAGAATAGATGCACAATACATGTATACATATGTATATTGTGTAATGAAGAATAAATGACACTTACCTGGCCTTAAATTCACTCACATCACCACTAGTTGCCGGCATTTTTTTAATTAAATCGTCATGCAATTGTCTCGCTTGAGAGATGCTATCTCCTGATATCTGTTTTTCGTTTATCCACACCAATAACAGTCTCTCAACATCTTCAAGTACTTGCGATCTGCGTTTCGAAAAGATACTTGCACCTTTTGCAACAACAACTTCCTTGATTGCCTTTCTGTTGGCCAAGATATAGTAGCAATGGTCGATTGGGGTTTGTTATACAACCTGGCCAGCTTAAAGACAGGCACTCGTTTCATACATTGTGATGATCTCCTTCATTTCAATTGTAATTCTCACCCTTTTTACCACAGGGTTGGCACTAAAAGCTTTCTTGGGGCCCATGGTGGCTTATTTAGCAGTTACAAGCACTAAAAACACTGGAATAATACATGAATGTATTATTCCTTAATATGCATACATCCCTACAACTCAATATTCACCCAATTTTTGAGAAAAATTTGACTCGGTATTCATACGTTGACATAACACAGTGGAACCTCAGTTTTTGCATGCCCTGGTTTTCATAGGATTCGGTTTTCGCCAACTCTTTTCGTCAAAACTTTGTCCCAGTTTTCATTCATCCGCTCAGTTTTCGTAGTTGACAATGGTCCACCGTACCAAACACATCCCCCTGCCAGTGCCCACACAAAGCATCCCACATGTTCTGACTCAGTCTGGCTTTGTTTCTCGGTGAGTGAGCATTACCCCGCACGTTCATCCAAAACATTTCTTAATAATCCATTGCTTTTTGTGCTAGTTTATTGAGTGCAACTGCTAAATAAGCCACCCTGGGGCCAAAGAAAGTTGCGAGTGCCAGCCCTTTGATAAAGTAGGCGAGAAACACAATAGAATTCAAGAAAGAACTCATAGCAAAGTATGAAAGTGGCATACTTGTGGCCGATCTTGCCAGTATAAGACAAAGAAGGGGATAATCCCAGATAGGGCTGTGATACCTGAAGTAATTATGAAGGGGGATTCCCCTTCCAAACATTAACCTCTCCTCCTCTCTCCCCCCTCCTTGCCGTCTTCCATACGCCAACAAGAGTCTTCAATAACGGTAAAAGTGATATTAAATGTTCATTTACCCATTTCATTAGTCATTTATATTTATCATTGTTTTCTGTACGTTTTCTCTATAAAATATATTTTTTGTTAATATTTTTGGGTGTCTGGAATGGATTAATTGGATTTACATTATTTCTTATGGGAAATATTGCTTCAGTTTTCATACAATTCGGTTATCGTCAGACTTTCTGGAATGAATTAATCTCAAAAACTGAGGTTCCACTGCATTTGACCTAAACAAAACGGTCCATCTGGACGAAGTCCAATGAAAACAAAGCATCACTCGCCCAGTCATTCTCTAGTTTTTCAAATGTTTGCATTGAAAATAGGCATTCGTGGCCTTAAAAAAGTGTATAATCCAAACATGCCTAAAAGGAAAGCAGCAAGAACAACAATTAAAATGAAAAAAGAACTCATTGCGAAATGGGAAAGTGGTTCACGTATGTCGGGCATGGCCACTCAATGTAGTATGAAGAAATCCACTATATCATCCAAACTGAAAAGTAAAGAGGAAATAAAAGGAGATGATATGGCATAAGGTGTGAAAATTCTTGCTGTGAAAAGGTCACAGATTAATGAAGAAATGGAAAACTTCTGTTAGTGTGGATTAATGAAAAACAATCAGCCAGTGACAGTGTTTCTAAAACAATGAGACACCCTGGGAAATAGTGCTAAAAGTGATGAATTTAAAGCAAATAGGAGCTGGTTTGATAGGTTTAAAAAGAGGAGTGGGATTCATAGTGTAATAAGGCATGGGGAGGCTACCAGTGCTAACAGATGAGGCTGAAAAATTTGTTAAGGAATTTAAAACCTAGGTAGACACTGAGGGATTTATTCCTCACGTTTTTAATTGTGACGAAACCAGCCACCTTTGGAAAAGAATGCCTAAGAGAACCTACATCACATGCAAAGAAATACAGTGGTACCTCAAGTTACGAACATAATTCACTCCAGAAGGCTGTTTGAGTGCCTATACCGAATGAATTTGTTTCCATAAGGAGTAATGTAAATTAGCTTAGCCCGTTTTAGACCCCCAAAAATACACTTAAAAAAGCACTTACAAAAACACACTTACATAATTGTTCGAGTTGGGAGCTGTTCGAAATTCGAAGTACCATTGTACATTACCATCACTGCAGATGTCTAGAACTCGGTAAGCAAGTCAACATTTGATAATCACAGATTTTTTTTTTTCAGCAATATGTTATATTGTGAGTAATTTGAATGTTCAAATCACAGTGGCTCATGGTCTGGTAGGCCATGGGCCTGGTAGTGCTCCTCTTTTTTAGTATTTGACTGACTACTACTACCTCCACCATTACCTCTCTTCCTCCTTTCCTACTACCTCTCTTGTCCCGTCCCTGTCTGCTGGCCTATATATACTCCCTCTTTCTCTCCTTTTTGTTAGTGTGACTTTGTAAATGATCCAAGTCGAACCGAAACATCGTCGTAAGCTCCTCTCTTCTATGTGCGGGTTATCTATGTAAAGGTACATGTAGGCTGTATATTGATGAAGGTATCCTGCAACAAGATCAACTAAGAGCTTTAGAAATTCGAATCATTCCTCAGATACATGATTGGTTTCTGGGTGAAGAATCATTCCATTTTATGCAGGATGGAGAACAATGCCACACAGCAAAATCTGTTAAGGCATTTCATGATTCATGATTATTATTATTATTATTATAATCAAGGGGGAAGCACTAAACCCATAGGATTATACAGAGCCTGTGGGGGGATGGAAGGTATTCAGGGTTAATTCAGGGAACTGGAGCACAGATCCAGTTCCCTAGATCAAGAGCCCCTCACCAGCATCAAGGAACCTTTCTTGAGGGGTCAGGATTCATGAAATATTCCTCTTCTTGAGTGACCTGGTAATTCACTAGATATGGATCCAGTAGAGAATATATGGGAAATAGTTAGAAGAAAAATGAAAGCAGACCATCAAAACCAAAACACAAATTATAAGATTAACAAGGGTATGGAACCATGATGACGACATGCAAACTCGCTTCCATACCTGCATAGAAAGCATCCGTCAAGGTATTGTTCCTACAATTAAGGCTAAAGGTGGATCAACTAAGTTTTAAATGTGTGGAATATATGTGCAAAACATTCAAGTAAACTGTCTTCTACCAAAATTCATGCAACATTCTTGAAGGACAGTCAATGTATAATGCTAAAAACCGACAAATATTTTATTTTTCTCATATGGCTCTAATAATTTGGCCAACCTCTGTTTAAGTACCGGTTATCCTAGGTAATTGACACGTGATGCTATACATAATAATTTGTGTAACTGTATTAATGTGTATCTATATCTGAATAAACTTACTAATACAGTTACACAAACTATCATACATAGCAGCTCATGTGTAGATTACCTAGGATAACCCAAAAAAGTCAAGTCAAAGTGGCTTATTTCCACTGAGGTCCTTGTGTAAGTTACCCAGGATAACCCAACGTAGTCAGTGACTTACGACTTTATTAAGCTTTTATACCTATTACTTAGGGAAATTATGCCACCGACATGTTCTAGTTCAATCGTAGCTTTCAGTCGCAAATAAAGGAAGAAGTGGAGTTAGGAAACTACGATTATACGTGAGAAAACTGTATTATGAAGTGCTAAACCCACAAGGGTCACACAGCGCCTGGGGAAATAGGACATAATCAGGTTTGATCCAAAGTAAATGGAATTACCTCCTGATCCCTGGACCAAGAGCCCTCAAATACACGGATATTATCTCTCTTACTAGTTGTAAATTATATGGTGATGCCCACAAACTGTGAAAAGGACACTTATTAATTCAGAACATTTATTAAATGTCCTGGGTTATTTCTAAATGTCCTGAAATAAGTAAGTGTTGTTTCTTCCACATGGACATCACTGCTGGGAAAGTATCACATAAAACGTGAGATAAGAGAGCAACAAGACTCGCCTGTCAACCATCAGCTCACTGTTGCCCATCCACGGGATAAGATGCTTTCCTTTATCCAGGAACAAAGCCTTCTCGTTGTCGCGGAACAGTTTACAAGAATATCCGAAGACGAGGAGCTCGTCGTGGCCATTATTGGCCCCTTTATCACGGGGTTCCCAGACTGGCCTGCCAAGCTCGGCCGCCATGTTGAGCACCACTAGCGCCACCACTAACACTGCAACACTTGTACAACACTTACACAACACTTGTGCAACATTTGTACAACACTGCAACACTTGTACAACACTTACACAACACTTGTACAACACTGCAACACTTGTACAACACATTACACAACACTTGTACAACACTTGTACAACACTTGTACAACACTTACACAACAATGCAACACTTGTACAACACTTACACAACACTGCAACACTTGTACAACACTGCAACACTTGCACAACACTAACACAACACTGAAACACTTGAACAATACTTACACGATACTGCAACACTTGAACAACACTTACACAACACTTGTACAACACTTACACAACACTTGCACAACACTAACACAACACTGAAAACACTTGAGCAATACTAACACAACAACACTGCAACACTTGAACAACACTTGTACAACACTGCAACACTTGTACAACACTGCAACACTTGAACAACACTGTAACACTTGTACAACACTGCAACACTTGAACAACACTTACACAACACTGCAACACTTGGACAACACTTACACAACACTGCAACACTTGAACAACACTTACACAACACAGCAACACTTGTACAACACTTACACAACACTGCAACACTTAAACAACACTTACACAACACTGCAACACTTGAACAACACTTACACAACACAGCAACACTTGTACAACACTGCAATACTTGTACAACACTTACACAACACTGCAACACTTGAACAACACTTACACAACACTGCAACACTTGAACAACACTTACACAACACGGCAACACTTGTACAACACTGCAACACTTGTACAACACTTACACAACACTGCAACACTTGTACAACACTTACACAACACTGCAACACTTGAACAACACTGCAACACTTGTACAACACTTACACAACACTGCAACACTTGAACAACACACAACACTGCAACACTTGAGCAACACTTACACAACACTGCAACACTTGAACAACACTTACACAACACTGTAACACTTGAACAACACTTACACAACACTGCAACACTTGTACAACACTGCAATACTTGTACAATACTTACACAACACTGCAACACTTGAGCAACACTTACACAACACTGCAACACTTGAACCACACTTACACAACACTGCAACACTTGAACAACACTTACACAACACTGCAACACTTGAACAACACACAACACTGCAACACCTGAACAACACTTACACAACACTGCAACACTTGTACAATACTTACACAACACTGCAACACTTGAACAACACTTACACAACACTGCAACACTTGTACAACACTTACACAGCACTGCAACACTTGAACAACACTTACACAACATTGCAACACTTGAACAACACTTACACAACATTGCAACACTTGAACAACACTTACACAACATTGCAACACTTGAACAACACTTACACAACACTGCAACACTTGTACAACACTTACACAGCACTGCAACACTTGAACAACACTTACACAACACTGCAACACTTGAACAACACCTACATAACACTGAAACACTTGAACAACACTTACACAACACTGCAACACTTGTACAATACTTACACAACACTGCAACACTTGAACAACACTTACACAACACTGTAACACTTGAACAACACTTACACAACACTGCAACACTTGAACAACACTTACACAACACTGCAACACTTGAACAACACTTACACAACACAGCAACACTTGAACACACTTACACAACACAGCAACACTTTAACAACACACAACACTGCATTACTTGAACAACACTTGAACAACACTTACATAACACTGCAACACTTGAACAACACTTACACAACACTGCAACACTTGAACAACACTTACACAACACAGCAACACTTTAACAACACACAACACTGCATTACTTGAACAACACTTGAACAACACTTACACAACATTGCAACACTTGAACAACACTTACACAACACTGCAACACTTGAACAACAATTGAACAACACTTACACAACACTGCAACACATGAACAACACTTACACAACACTGCAACACTTGAACAACACTTACACAACACTGCAAACACTTGAACAACACTTACACAACACTGCAACACTTGAACAATACTTACATAACACTGCAACACTTGAACAACACTTACACAACACTGCAACACTTGAACAACACTTCACAACACTGTAACACTTGAACAACACTTACACAACACTGCAAACACTTGAACAACACTTACACAACACAGCAACACTTTAACAACACAACACTGCATTACTTGAACAACACTTGAACAACACTTACATAACACTGCAACACTGAACAACACTTACACAACACTGCAACACTTGAACAACACTTGAACAACACTTACACAACATTGCAACACTTGAACAACACTTACACAACACTGCAACACTTGAACAACACTTACACAACACTGCAACACTTGAACAACACTTACATAACACTGCAACACTTGAACAACACTTACACAACACTGCAACACTTGAACAACACTTGCACAACACTGCAACACTTGAACAACACTTAAACAACACTGCAGCACTTGAACAATACTTACATAACGCTGCAACACTTGAACAACACATACACAACACTGCAACACATGAACAACACTTACACAACACTGCAACACTTAAACAACACTCAACACTTGAACAACACTTACACAACATTCCAACACTTGAACAACTTGCACAACACTGCAACACTTATACAACACTGCAACACTTGAACAACATTTACACAACACTGCAACACTTGAACACTGCAACACTTGAACATCACTTAAACAACACTGCAACACTTGAACAACACTTAAACACTGCAACACTTGAACAACACTTAAATGCTGCAACACTTGAACAACACTTAAATGCTGCAACACTTGAACAACACTTAAACACTGCAACACTTGCACAACATTGCAACACTTGAACAACACTGCAGCACTTGAACAATACTTACACAACACTGCAACACTTGAACAACACTGCAGCGTGACCAGGAGCCAGCACTAAGTAACAGCAACAGTTGACCACGTTACATTGTGTCCTGGGGTATTTTCAAGTCAAATGACGTAAGAATAGAAAAGTGTTGAAGACAATGCGGTATACTAGTAACTTTCATTTATACCTACATTTATGTCTACTCTATTTCTTGCTCCTCCTGTCCTCTTCAATACTTCGGAGAAACTGGCCGATCTCTTTCTGACAGACTTAGGGAGCACAAAAATAGTGTTAGGCTTGCCGACACTAACAATGCTCTGTTCTGTCACGTCAGAGATCATAGCCATCCTATTGACTGGTCTTCTGCTAAAACTGTCTTCCCTACTTCCAACTTTAACAGTCGCCGTCTGGTTGAATCCTCCCTATTACACAACTTCCTTGTATGAATCTTAGTCCTGGCTTCGTCTCTGTAGATGCCTTCCTCTCCCACTACATTGTAAAATGCTCCAAACTTCAGAACACCCGTGACTTAACCTGATTCCTCCTTTTTTTCTTCTCCCTCTTCCCCTTTCCTCTTTCTTTTTTTTCTCTTCTGAGTTGTCTTTCTTTCTTCTGTCTTGTGTTTCTGTTCCTTCATTATTTATTTTATTATTCCCCCCCCACCTCTGTGTTCTTGCTCTCCCTCTGTGGGCACCTAGCTCCCCTGCAGTGCTCCCCTTTCTTTGTATTTGACTGGCTCCTCCTTACTTCCCCATTTCTACTTCCATCTCCGCCACTACTACTACCACTACTACCACTACTACCACTACCACTACCACTACCACTACCACCACTACTACTACTACTACTACTACTACTACTACCACCACTACCTCTTCCTGCCTATATATACCCGTCCTACTCTACTTCTCGTTAGTGTGACTTTGTAAATGGTCCAAGTCGTACTGAAACGTCGTCGTAAGCTCCTCTCTTCTATGTGCGGGTTATTTGTGTACCCCTCAGGTAAACTTTGGTTTATCCATGTGGTTGATTGGGAGCAGCAAAAGATGCTCCATGAGGTTGATTTGGAGCAGCAAAAGATGCTCAATTTGTCAGTGTAAAGCTGCGCTTACGACAATCCAACAAGTTCAGGTAGGAATCCGGCTTCAGATTGTGTACACTGTCTTCAATTATAAAGTTATCTAATTTGCATCAGCCACCACTATTATTATATAATGAATTTTTATCATGTTTTATAATTGCCGATTCTACAATATCTTGTTGATGCCAAAAGGAGCAAGGAACAATGACTCTGGCTTCTGACCAATTTGCAGAGTTATTGCAGACCCTTATGTAGCTGGAAAATCGCATTTGATTCCTGTGCAGTTATTTATCGAATATCGTGTTGTGATATCCTGGCATCAGATTGTTTGCCTGCTGTCTGACATAAGAGTAAGTTGCAAGCCAGTTCTGTAAATACCACTAACACAATGTCAATTGCTCGTGAGGCAATGTGAAACTAACGTCCTTGGTGCACAGGAGGGTGCAAGAAGTCTTTCTTCAAATGACGAATGTGTTTAAGCTTAACTTCCCTGACAACACCCTGATGCTAGGCTAAGTGTGCACGACTAATGGAGATCTGTAAGAGAACATCCTTAAGGCAAGGATCCAAAATAGGTAAAAACCCACCACAAGCATTGTGTTTGAGTAACAGAATAAAGAACTAGATCATGATCTACTTAATACAGCCTTCCGAGGGTATTAAGCTGCTCTGCCCTCCATAACACTCAACGCACTTTAAAAAATGGTAAGTATCCATAATCTTGTGATAGTCCTCTCTACATGGACCCCATCCCCCATCTGACTCTAAGGTGAGCATATATCAAGCCGTAAAGAACATAAAGGTGATGCCCACTTATTGCCAGTTAGGTAGCCCTTGCCTCCTCCCCCGAAATATCTGGTGCCAGTCCTTACGTTATCCCTAAACCTCTAAGATGTACCTACCCCCTCAACGTAGGTGTTACAAATGGCCAGCACCTATGGCCATGGTTTTCCATAGCC